TAAACAGAATAAGATTCTCAGAGCCATTTGCTTTTCTAGGTTTGCCTACTGTAGTTAATATGAGATGCTTATAAATAAATATGACACTAGGTGATCAAAATAAAGTCTTAACTCTTATGGCTTTAAAATTTTATTGTTATTATAAAGGTGATGTATAGAGGGGTTACAGTTATGTAAGTCAGGTAAAGAACATACTTCTTTTTGGACAATATAAAGTCTCTTACACTACCAATCAGAAATAGGATTGCTTTTTCTGTTATAATTACATGAATATAAGAGTGTGTTATTTGGCCCAACTTTGTTGCAAAGTACTCATCTCTCCAAACATGAGAAACACAAACCTACCTAACATCTTTTAAGGGCTAACATTATAGGTGGTTACTACTTATTTCTGTCAGGGTGGTCACTATTAGTCCCAAGAATACTCCTACCTCTGTTTATGTGCAAGAAAATATTCTTTCCTGTCTTGGCCTTTTATTTTTTTCACACTTCAAAAACTCTTTTATGCAGAATTTTTACTTTCTTTCTTTTGCTTGCCTAACTCGTGTGTGTATGTGTGTGTGTATGTGTGTGTGTGTGCCTTCTAGTATCTTGTGTGTGTGTGTGTGTGTGTGTGTGTGTGTGTGTGCCTTCTAGTATCTTCGTATTGCCTCCTAACTGGAGAGATTTAAAACTGGACACACAATTCTAGCAAGGCTTTTCAGACCTCATTTAGCCAAATCATTATACATGTAGATACTGAGGCTGAATGATTTTTCTAGAGGAACTAGAATTTGTACTTTTATGATCCATAGACTTTTGTTGCTATCATGTTGATTGAATAGGAATTATATTGGTGTGCTTTAGGGGAGGAAAGGATTTCTCACCATGACGTGTCTGCTCCTCCTTTATCAAGAGGTTCACAATAGCAGTTGTTAGGATTTTGAGGACATGGGAGGATGGTGGATTGCTCTCCACCTTTGTGTTTTTTGAATGTGCAAAATGTTCCTGCCATCCATCATTTTACCCTGTACACATCTCTAGACGGCCTCTTGTGTGTCAGACAATGTCCTCAGCTCAGCCTTGGTGGTCAATGGGCCGGGGGATCACAGGAGGTCTGTCTGCAATTTCTCAACTCTGGGTAAGATTTCCAAATCACCCACAAACTGGCTGTACCTCACTTTCCCTTGGCAGTCCTGAAGAAGGGGGATATCAAGCAGAGATGAAAGCATTTTTCTTCTCCCCTCCTTTTCTCGGTTTAGAAGTTCTATTCCCTATTTGGTGTGAACTTAATAATATATTTTTCTTGTTACTGGAAGTTGTTCAGTGTTAGAGAGCTGAACAAAAATCTCTTCAGTCCAGGCAGTTAACTGAACTGTGTGGCTGGGCCAGGCACCCTGCTGGAGAAACTGGGAAAAGAAGAGGAGGAAGGAACTCTTTAAGGGCCCCAGCTCTCCTAGGCAATCATTTAACATCACTTTCACATAGTTACATCCACCTGCCGTGAGCCTCATTGCTACAGAAGGGAAGGTACCTAATTCTAAGTTAAGGATGGAAGATTCAGTCCTGTTCTATCTTTGCAAGAAACTTAAAAAACATAAAACATGGGGAAGTATGTTTGATGTGTATTTGAGGTTGAAATCTAAGGTTCCCATATCTTAGCCTTATTATTTTACCATATTAACCTATTTGTGCAATTTTGGCCATTCCTTCCTGTAGGGAAGAAGAATTGATACTGGGGGAAACTATAGCTGAGTATCTGACCTAGTGCAAGGTTTTAGTTCTGGTATCTCACAAGCTTATGAAAGCAGAGACTAATATGCAGACCTGAGGATTTATTTTATTCCTTTCCCTAGTGATTATATTGGTAGCGAACTATCTTGGTCTGAGTATTCCCGCAACATAGCTGTAGGCGCCATAAAAATGCATAGATGGATGGCTACCAGTTCAATTAAGAGGTCTTAACCCAGACTCCTATATGCAAACCCTGTCTATTTTAGTTTTAAATTTCTGCTCATAAATTTTTTAAAAACCAAAAGAAATATTGCGTTTCAAGGTTAGGTTGAAGTCTAAGGTTCCTTAAACAAAAAGCAAATCCCTAGATGGGGAAGAAATTGACAACCCTAATGTACTTTCTCACAATAGCATTTCCAACTCCACCATTTAAATTTAAACTCACTTTAAGTAATATTCTCTTCATTGTAGAATACAAATCTGGCTTTTAACTAGGGAACCAGGAAAGTCACTGTTACAGGAGGAGGTTCCAATATAAGAGGAGAACTTAATTCTCTGCCATTGGATTTGTTTTCTGGGGCCTCTAATTATTATCAACCAGCAACATAATTATCTAAAATAGTAAGACATAAAGTTAGTTTGGTTTCTGGATCTCCAGAAATATGTAAAGGAGAAAAATAAATTGCTAACCTTCTTGGTAAGATTTAAATGCAGGTGCTTATGTATGTATGGGTAGAAATTAATTTGTAATTCTGATTATCTGGTTAGCACGATGCCATTTACTTCCTTAGTGACCTTTTGCAGTACTAGAAAAAGTGTCCATCCATCCTCATTCGAGCTAGCCCCACGACCGGACTAGTTGTGTTCCCTCCTGATTCAGGAAAGGAAACAGCATTAAATGGCCCAGGGTCAAAAAATAATTTTCTTGGAGGGTTTTGGCTTTACATGTGCCTCACTGGGAGAGGCTCTGGCTGTGTGCAAACCGGGAGAGATAGCAGGATCTCTAGGTTTTTAACAAAACTGAGAAATGCCACTTCACTTTCAGTTTGGTGAGATGCCTTTCCCAGTGTGTTGTGTGTGAGCTTTCACGAGAGCACTGCGGCCCCTTGCAGACCAACTCTGAGCATTTTCTTACCACTCAGTCCTTTGCTTGTTTGCCTGTAACTTGGAGTTTTAAGCTAAATTTCATTCTACCTGATATTCAACTTCTGTTGATGTCTATGTTGTCCATAGTCACACTCTCTTTTCCTAAAAGTAGAACAGAAAAACAACTGTAAACAAAAATTGAAAAGAACAAAGAAGTGCACTTTGAGGTTATGAATAAAATTTTTGAAGCTAGATCTTTATCACTTACCATTTAGTATTGTTAGATAAATATAAAAAAATCATTGTATAGCTAAATTGAGATGAAAGATGTTTTCCATTTGTTCATAGAGCAACAATCATAAACATAGTGTATATATATATATATATATTGCTTAATCTATGAAATAGACAATTAGATTTGCTAGTATTTTTTGCTAGTATTTTTCCATAGAAAATATGGTCAGTAAAATTTTATGTATGTTTCGAGAAATGATCAGGAAGAATTTTGACATCTCTAAAAAACATAGGTGAGATATTTAGTTTCAGTTAAAGATATTAGTGATTTAAGATTTTCTGGAAGAAAAATAATGGAGCTATGTGTCTCCAACATATGTTCATTGTTTCTTAAAATACCGAATTGGAAATTTTGAATAACAAAATTACCAAACCTTCCTTTAGGAAAAGAGAAAGTAATTGTATTGTGTTTTAAATCGTCTGCACTAAGTATTATTGATTTATGTTGCTAAACTTTATAAATCAATTCATATTTCCAATTTGTAGATCACAATTTCTGTGTATATTCACTGCCAATTATTACAAGATAATAGAAAAGCCTATCATTTTTCCAGACCTAAATAAAAATTCACTATTTTGCCATTTTTGTTATTTGAATTAAAAAAAACACATTTTGTTATCATCACATTAAAGTTCTAAAATAGATATGTTCTGTATAAGACTTTCTGATTATTAAAATCTTTCATGTGCTTAAAAGCAAGAAGTCTTTTAACTCATAAGTGAGCATTTCTGCAGCCAAATTCACAAGTAGTGCTATATCTTCGTATGGTATCTCCAAGAAAGACAAGGGCAATGCTAGAATTCCCTTGCAATAGAAGTAATACTTTCAATTTAATCCTACTTAAGTGTCATGAACTCTTGATCTTACATTGAACTTCTTGCTGAAATGTGGTCAAGTTTCAAATAGCAATTTCTTACCCTGTAAAGTCAAGGTAAAATCTCCATCCAGCCTTTCCACAAATAGAGGTTGTGTGTGTGTGTGTGTGTGTGTGTGTGTAATGTATTTGTTTGTTGATTTAAGTACTCAGAAAATGTGTTATTCACTCAGAAACATCTTACTTGATTTTTTTCTTCCTAAAGTATATCATAAATATGCCTGCTTCTAATTCTGGGGAATTCTTTGATCAAAGTTAATTTTATCTAAATTTAAAAATTCAGTGTTAGTTTATTTTCAGTTAACTCATGAAGTTAATTTTTTTTAAGTTCCAAAATCTTATCCTCTTTTTTAAAAGAAGAAATCAATTTAATTCCATCAAAGTGTGTAGGAACTTGTCTCTGGTAATAAAATCCTGTCGGATCTCCCAAATGCAGGAGTGAAGCAGGAAAACTATACTTCCTTTGTGTGTGGCAGAGCCTTGGCCTTTTCTGAGCTATGTAACTAGTTTGAGTGCACGTGCTAGGGTATTAGCGCTCAGCTGCATGATCTGTTGCTGCAGTACAGAACTAAATAGCAACAGAGCTTGTTACTGTTGTTTGGGTTGCTTTTATATACCAGCTTCAAAATATGTTTTGACACTTTATTATGTTCTGAATCAAGCTTCAGATGTGTGTAATGAAGGATGATGTCTTTATCAGGCTCCAGTGTGTAAATAATGGAGAAGAGCAGTTTAGAAATGTTCTTCCTATAAGAAAATGGTTTCTTAAAGTGCTTTCATTCTGGTCTGGTGCAAAGGAAACTACTAGAGGTATAGATAGAATGCACCATGCTCTCGGAAGACTTGAGCACCCTACCTCTAACTTCCCTTCCTTTTCTCTCTCAGCCCTTTCTCTCTTTACTCATCATGTTCATTTCTCTCATGTTCTCTTTCTTAAGTCTATAGGCTGAACCTTGTGAGAAAGTCTGGCACCGCTGATCCACTTTCTCTCACAGACCCTGTAATTTTTGGCTGTATTTTTATGTTTTTCAGATTCAAGTCAGTCTGAAAGTCCCAGCCAGCCAAGTGACGCTGACATTAAGGACCAGCCAGAAAATGGTAAGTTTAGTGTGGGACTCTGGCTGCTGTTATTAGCGTCCACAGGGCACCAGCAACCAGGCAAGGCAGGAGGATTCAGGCGTCTGCTCTAGGAGGGACCCACATAGGAACAACTATAAGGATTGAGAGGGAGGGAATTGGCAGGGGGGGAGGCAGACAGAGACAGAGACAGAGGAAAGAGAGTTGAAGTTTCCCAGAACTGTTTCTTCTGTGGACCACCTTAGCAGCTCCAATCACAGCCCTTCCCATTTGTCAGGACTCCGAGGATCTTGATTCCCAAGAAAGTGGATAATCTACCTGAACCCTGAGAAGTGGACTTGATTTGTCGAATTATAAAGAAAGAATCATAGCTTTTCCCCTGACATTTTGGTTTCCTTTAAAGTGGCAGGTACCATATTATCTTCACTACTGACTAGAGATCATTCACAGAGGAGAGTTTATTTCTGAAGCCTTTTAGGACCTTATACTCAACCTGCTGCAAATTGCTTTAAGAAAACAACCTCTATCTTGAAAGGAATTTTCTACTTTGAGTTGTCTAAAATAAAATAATAAAATAGTGAGAGTATAAAATGACATAGTTTTTTCAGTTTTACAAATTACAAGCATTTTTTAATTTTGTTTTTATTTCTTTTTGTAGTAACAGGCATTGGACCAAAGTCTTCATGCATATTTTGTCAAGCAGTCTACTACTGAGCTATATTGCCAGCCCCTATATATACATTCTATGGCAGAAAGTTTATTAAAATGGAATGTACGGTTTATGATTATAATAGTATCATGTGAAATCCTAAACTTGTGCTATATTCTCTAAATAGGAAAAACACTGTCCTGGGTTGGAATTTTAGACAGTAAAACCCTGAGTTTTAATAAAAACAGAGAAGTACTAAGTAGTACCCATCATAAAGTAAAATACTATATTATCACAAAATTCCATATTTCTTGACCTCGTTAGGTAGGTAATATAGGTCAATATTACCTACCTATGGAAGAATTAAATAAGATGTGTGTAGAACATATTTGCCATAAGATTTCCCCTAGTTTATGCTAGATAAAAGTATTGGCAGTGATTCACTATTATTCTTACCATTTTTCTTTTTTATTCAAACCTATCCACTTTGTTTTTCACCTAATTTGAATGACTTTATTCCTTGGATCTTTCTTCCTTTCATTCTATATTTCTTCCATTTTGCTCTCCATCTGATCTTACAGAAAAGATAGATACACTGACTTACGTTGAGGTTGTAGGGTAGAAGATGGGGCTCATCACATTGCATTAGCTATCCTGTCACCAATATTTGGGAATTGGTTTCATTTCCTAAGCCTGAAGAATTTTTTGTTACATTATTCGGCTTTGCCATGAAGTAAGAACTAATATTTTGATGTTATTTTCTTGATGGAAGTTGGTTTTTTTAAAGCAGAATATTAAGAAAAAACTGGTGGTGAACCTCTGAAAGCTGTTTTTAGTGTCATAGACAGCTACATATGAATTTTTGTTAGTATTCTGAAGAACAATATTTATAAGTCTATTTTCATTCTTTTCCACTTGCTTTAAATGTTTTGTTTTTTTTCATAGACTATATTTGTACATACTCTCCATGAACATGTGTTCAGAAGTACACATTTTATTTCATTTAAAGCAGTAGGGGTGTATAGTTCACATATTTAGGTCTGGCTGCCCCTCTATCAGGCTTGAGATTCATCTGTCTTCATAAAATGGCCGACAAGCTGTTCACATGCAAATATAAATTGAGAGCAGGAAAGGCCGGATATGCCATTCTGGAACTGCCTGCAATACCGATATTGTGTGTTATCATTCCAGAGAGCATCAGGGATTGAGCCTGGTTTTTTCATCCAAAGGCATTATTATGATACTTGCTGAGCTTGCTTTTAACCCCTGATTACTTGGTACTACTTCAAGGATTCATGGTACCATTTTGTGGTGATCAAGCAAATACAAAGAAAGAAACACTGAGATAAAATGCCAAATACTTTTTCAACTTCCCTGTATTTCAAAGAGAAAGAAGTAGAAGCTGAGTACTGAAAGCTCCTACCTCTAATCCTAGCTACTTAGGAGGCTCAAATCTTAGAACCATGGTTCAAAGTCAGCCCTGGAAGAAAAGCCCAGAAATTCTTATCTCCAATTAGCAGTAAAAAGCCAAAAGTGGAGGTGTGACTCAAATGGTAGAACACTAGCCTTGAGCCAAAAAACACAACCAAGAGTTCAAACCCCAATACATAAGATCAACTACCAAAAAAAAAAAAATCGAAGATACTTTACCTTAAAACACCCAATGAAGAATCAGAGTTCTCACTTTCCTTCATCTGCCTTTGATCAATCTCAGAGGAAGTCATTGGGGAGAACTATCTAACCTCTTCCTTACAGACATGGAATCACTAGAGGGAATAAATGAAGATTTCAGGGAAAGTTAGTTACCTGTGAGTGTATGCTCTGTTGATGTTTGAATCAAGCACATGTCCCTTTCTTCTTGGCTACCTCACAAGTTTCCGAAAGGTATCTGGATTTGTTTGTCTGTTTGTTGTTTTGAACAAGGGAACTCTCCGAGGTAGATAAACAAAGATATACAAGTTTTTGGGGATCTCACTGCAGGAAGATGTGACAAACTTTGTTCTTCAAGTGAAGTGGGAACTCATTACTTATTCAGTATAAATACATATATGCAAGAGAAAATAATCTTTTTATCCCAGCTCTTGAAAAAGGTAATGAGAAATGAATGGTATTTCCCTGGTAAACCATGGAGAATGAGTGGACAAATGGTAACATGCTGTTTCATGCAAACCTATAAACGAGGCCATGTAACGTTACCTAAAGTGGATGCAGCTGTTTCTTCCCTGGCCAACTAGCCAGTTTTTTTTTCCTGTGGAATTTTTGCTTTCTTTACTTGTACTCCCTTAAGACCCAACTGTAAAAGAAAACAAATCTTTGTCCAATTAGAGCATTAGAGGGGAATTTTGAAGGAATTATTTTGAAGCCCAGAGATAACAGACCAAAATCTCTGAAACTCAAAATTAGTATATTATGATGATTAACATTGCCTCTGGAGTCAGATCTGTGATAAAAATTAAGTAGTTGAGTGACTGCATGAGCATTTGCCCCAATCTCAGTTCTCTTGTTAGCAAAATTGAGATGGTAAAACAACTTCATGAGGATGGACATGAGAATAGACACAGCAAGTAGCATAGTGCCTGGATGAGAGAAAGGATCCAACTGTAGACTGTGCTCTAGGATTCTCCCATAAACACACAAGAGGTCTAAAGCTAGAATGGGCTCCAGAAATAAACCAAGACTTGAAGGCAAGTCCTTTGGAATCACCTATTGTGCTCTAAGATGTTGTACATAAATGATCTTCTTAGACTTCTACCATCCTCACAGTGCCCTGTCTACTATTCAGCTCTGTCCTCACATTCTATTCTTCATTCTTGTGTGTGAGAACAAGGCAACTGCACAACTGATTCAGAGTTGTTGGAAACTTGAGAGTCTGTGCTTAGGAAGGAGGTTTGGTCCTGTGTGTATTTAATATTAGCTGATGGACTAGAGGCATGGCTCAAGTGGTAGTGCCAGGCTCTTAGTTCAAATCCACTATAGTACATATATATGTTGAGTTTTTACTAGAAGAGCCTGGCTTGTTAAAAACTGTAAACTGGAACTAGTCACCAGTAACTCGTGCTTGTATTCATATCTACTCAGGAGACTGTGATCTGGCAGATCATGGTTTAAAGCCAGCTCAGACAGAAAAGTGCTTGAGATTCCATTACCAAAATAAGAAGCAGAAAGCCAAGCTGAAGGTTTGTCTCAAGTGGTACAACACCAACTGGGCAAGTATGAAGTCAGTCCCAAGTTCAGACTCAGTACTGGCCAAAAACACCAACAAAAAATGACAACAACAACAACAAAAAGAAAAGCACTGTAAACTGGTCTGGGGTGTAGCTCAGTGGTAGAGCACTTGCTTAGCATATATGAGCCCCTGAGTTTTCAGTCCCCAGTACTGGAGGGAAGGAATGAGGGAGAAAGGAGGAAGGCAAGATAGAAAACAGGGAGGAAGGAGAAGAAAAGGAAAAAGTAAAGACACCTGAAAATAGATTGAGGGTATGATTTATGACAAATTTCTTTTAAAAAAAAAAAACTGCCTTGAGTTTAGAAGACACCTGTTATTTATTTGGTGAATGAATAAATAAGGAGGTGAATGTGTCATTATTCTCATATTTTTGAATGTCTCCTTACTGTCAAGTTACCAAAAGTTTTTTGTTTGATTTGATTTGTTAAGAGGAAAAAAAAAATCCCTCTAAAATGTTGGATGCTGGTGACTCATAGGTGCAATACTAGCTACTCAGAAGGGTGAGATCTGAGGATCCCACCATGGGAAAGGATAGTCCATGGGACTTCTATGTCTAATCTCCCAAAAGCTGGAAGTGAAGTGGATATGGCTCAAGTGTTAGCTTCGAGCAAAAAAAACCCTCAAGAACAGCTACCAGGCCCTGAGTTCAAGCCCCAGAACCAGCCAAAACAAACAAACAAACAAAAACCTTCTAGATAAGCTGAAAATCTAATTTGGGTGCTAGGCATAAATACACAGATATGTAGTGCCAGGAATCAGAAATAAGAGGCACGCTCCAAGTGCCCTTTCAGACCAAGTTATACCCTCCTGAGCAGGTGTGGTTGAAATGTGAGTCCTATCATGTTAGGTAGTGCAGGATTAGCATAGGGAATGAAAGTGATATAAAGTTTCCAGCTATGATGGGAACCATTCCTTTAATCCTTCTCTAGCTTTTCAGCAGTCTCATTTGTTGGACTTTAGACTTCGAAAATCTATTCATTCCACCTTCGTGAATTCCCATGATGTACTTTGGCCACTGTTGAAAGTATTTGTGGGACCGAGCATCTGAAGTGCCTACTTGAAGTTTGCAGCCTGTGAACTGTCCTTCAAAGCTGGCATTCTGTGGTGCATCAGGTCAATCATTAATGAGGGGAAAATCACATAAGA